GACTGCAAAGTTGTTTGAACTGCAAGGTTGGTGGTTCAAGCTCACCAGCTGCTTCTTGGAAACCCTATACAGGGTCGCTATGGGTCGCTTTTACTGATGATATGGAGCTTTTCAATCATCTCTTTCCACAGATGTAGTCAATTTGATTTCTCTGCATTCTATCTGGCAAGGTCCGTGTGTATAACCATCTCTTATGCTGTCTAAAGCAGATATTTGAAATGAACAAATCGTTGATTTTGCAGAATTTTATCATGCAATCTCCAGCATCATTTCTATCTCCAGCATCATTTCTATCAGCAAGGCCATATTTTCCAACTACTGATACTTCCTCTTTGCAAGTAAGCTTTGCATGCCAAATTGTATTGTTATGATCAATACATCTTGATTGCATGTTTGATCAATTTCAGATTGAAGAAGTTGGTAGAATTCTTCTATTTCATCCTCACTGGCTTTAGTGGTTGGTGCATAAATTTGAATAACAGTGGTATTAACCTGTCTTCCCTGTAGGCACATGGATATTATCCAATCACAGATAGTGTTATACTTCATGACTGATCTGGATATGCTGTTTTTGACAATGAATGCAACATCATTCCTCCTCAATTTGTCATTTCCAGCATAGCAAACAATGTGGCTGTCAGATTCAAAATGGCCAATACCAGTCCATTTCAGCTGACTAATTTTTAAGGCATTGATGTTTATGCATTCTATTTCATTTTTGACAAATTCCAATTTTCTTAGATTCATACATTAAACACTAAAGACCAAAGACCAGAAGAGTTGTGGGATGACATCAAGAACAAAAAGTCATTAAGAAGACAAGAAAGAAAGAAAATGTCAAAATGGATGTCAGAAGAGACACTGAAACTTGCTTTCCAGTGTAGAGATGCTAAAGCAAATGGAAGAAATGAGGAGGTCCAAGAACTGAACAGAAAATTTCAAAGATCAGCTTGAAAGGATACAGCCAAACATTACAACACAATGTGCAAAGATCTGGAGTCAGAAAACCAAAAAGGAAGAACAAACTCAGCATTTCTCAAGCTGGGGGGAACCGAAGAAAAAATTCATGCTTAACTCTTGTTATTGAAATATTCTCTGGGAAAATTATTGAATGATGCAGAAACCATCAAAAGAAGATGGAAGGAATACACAGAGTCACTGTACCAAAACGAAATGGTTAATGTTCAATCTTTTCAAGAGCCAATGATAGTGAAGGAAGAAATTCAAGGTACATTGAAGGAATTGGCAAAGAACAAGTCACCAGGAATTGATGGAATAAAAATTGAAATATTTCAAGAAAATGAGGCATCACAGGAGGCACTCACTTACCTATGCCAAGTAATTTGGAAGACAACTATCTGGCTGACTGATTGGAAGAGATCCATAGTTGTGCTCTTTCCAAAGACAGATGATCCTATGGAATGCGGAAATCATTAGACAATATCTTTGATATCCCATGAGAGTAAAGTTTTATTAAAAGTAATACAGAAACTGCTGCAAGCACACATTGACAGAGAACATCCAGAGGTTCAAGCCAGATTCAGAAGAGGCTGTGGAATGAGGGATATCACTGCTGGTGTCTGCTGGGTCTTGGCTGAAAGCAGAGAATATCAGAAAGATGTTTACCTGTGCTTTAATGACTCCGCAAACACTTTTGATTATATTGATCATGACAAGCTATGGACAATATTTGCAAAGTATAAGTATTCTGGAAAACTTTATTGTGCTCATGAGGAGTCTGTACATGGACCAAGAGGCAATAGTTTGAACAGAACATGAGAACATTGAATGGTTTAAAATTAAGAAAGGTGTGTGACAGGGTTGTATTCTTTCACCATACTTATTCAACCTGTATACTGGGTTATATGAAGAAAAATGTGGCATCAGGATTGGAGGAAGACTCATTAACAACCTGTGATATGCTGATGATACAACCTTGCTTGCTGAAAGTGAAGAGGACTTAAAACATTTACTGACAAAGATCAAAGAGCACAGCTTTCAGTATGGATTGCATCTCAATATAAAGTAAACAAAAATCCTCACACCTGGAGCAATCAACAACATTCTTATTAACGGAGGAAAAAAGATTGAATTTGTCAAGGACTTCACTCTTCTTGGATCAGCTATCAACACTCACAGAAGCAGCAGTCAAGAAATCAAATGACACATTGCATTAGGCAAATCTGCTGCAAAAGACCTTTTTAAAGTGTTGAAGAGCAAAGATGTCAGCTTGAGGACTAAGGTGTGCCTGATGCAAGCCATGATATTTTCAATAACCTCATATGCATGCGAAAGCTGGACAGCGAAGAAGGAAGACAGTAGAAGAACTGATGCTTTTGAGTTATGGTGTTGGAGGAGAATATTGAAAGTGGCATGGTTTGACAGAAGAACCAACAGATCTGTATTAGAAGAAGTGCAGCCAGAGTGCTCCTTGGAGGCCAAGATGGCCAAGCTTTGTCTATCATACTTCAGACATGTTTCCAGGAGTGACCAGTGAAGAATATCATGTTTGGTAGGGTGGAGGGTCAGAGAAAAAGAGGAAGTCTCACACCGAGATGGATTGGCAAAGTGGTAGCATCAATGGGCTCAAGCGTTGCAATGATAGTGAGGTTGGCCCAGGATTGGGCAGTTTTTGGTTCTGCTGTGCATAAGGTCACTATGAGTTGGTACTGACTCTGTGGCACCTAACAACAACAACAATACAATAAAATACCCATGGTATTGAAGGAATCCAAGGTGCCCTGAAGACATTGGCAAAGAATAATGATACAGGAATTTATGGAATGCAAATTGGAAATTTTTAACAAATGAGTGTAGCACTGGAAGCACTCACTCCTCTACACCTAGAAATGTGACCAACAGTTACCTGGACAACTTACTGGAAGAGGTTAATATTTGTGCACAATCCAAAGAATAGTCACGCAATAGAATGTAGAAATCATCAGACAATATCATTAATATCGCATGCAAGTAAAATTTTGCTAAACACAATTACAAAACTACTTCAACAGTACACTGATAGGCAACTTCCAGAGGTTCAAGCCAGATTCAGACATGAAATAAGGTTTACCATAGTTGACATCAAATGTATCTTGGCTGAAAGCAGAGATTACAAGAAAGATGTTTCCCTGTACTTTATTGTCTAAACAATGGCTTTCAACTGTGTAGATCTATAGACAATAATGCCAAGAATGAGAATTATGGAACACTTATTGTTCTCATGAAGAACCTGTACAGAGACCAAGAGGCAGCTGTTTGAACAGAACAAGTGACCACTTAATGGTTTAAACCAGGAAAGGTGTGTACCAGGGTTGAATTCTTTCACTATATTTATTCAACCTGTATTCTGAGCAAATAATACAAAAAGCTGGATTATATGAAGAAAAATGTGGCATCAGGATTGGCATTGTTGTTGTTGTTGTTAAGTGCCGTCGAGTCGGTTCCGACCCATAGCGACCCTGTACAGGGTTTCCGAGGGTGTAAATCTTTACGGGAGTAGAA